ACCTATGTTTCTTTGGGCCTGGCTTACTTCACTGAATATAATTTTTTCCAAGTCTTTCCATTTCCTAATAAGTGGGCAATGTCATTCTTTCTGATGGAGGCATAGAATTCCATTGTATTTGATGTTGGTATAATTTGTGTAGGGGAAAGGAAGAAACAAATCATTTAAATAGGGATACAGGTGGACCCATTGCAACAGTGAGATGTACAAGACGTTATGTCGAAAAAAGAACTTTACAACTTTGGCCAGGGGGAGAGGGGGGTAAGGGGTGGGGGGAGGAATGGGAAGGGATGGAAAGGGGAAACAAAGGAGGAGACATCAATGCTTAATAAGAAAGGTACTCATTACCTTGCCCATGTAATTGTAACCCCTCTGTATGGTATTTTCACAATTAAAAACAAAAAGAAAGAGAAGCCACCATCTTTCTCTTCTTACTGTTGTTCTTGCCTCTTTAGGTGAGAAGGAAACAAGCATGAAGGCCAAGGACAGTGGCGCGGATCTCACTGCTTTCCTCACTCTCGTGGCAAAGCAGGTCAGAGCAGATTGATGGACGCAGGGTGACAGCCTCAGCCTGCATCACACAGAAGCTCAGTCTTCCTGAGTATTTTGCTTGGATCGAGAAACTGCCAGGTTCAAATACTGTATCACATTCCAATATCGTGCTAATACTAACTTTTGACATAATTTAAAATCTAATTCTAAAATATGCATTCACTTTGCCAGGCACTGATGGCTCACACTTGTAATCATAGCTATTCAGGATGCTCACATTTCAGGATCATGGTTCAAAGAAAAGTCTGTGATACTCTTAGACCCTTATCTCCAGTTAAGCACCAGAAAACTGGAAGTAGAACTGTGCCTCAAAGTGGTAGCGCACTGGCCTTGAGGAAAAAGAGCTCAGGGACAGCATCCAGACCCTGCATTTAAGCCACTCGACCAAATATATATAAAAAATATATATAAACATATATAATGTATGTATATATCTATGTATGTTTGTATTTATTTATATACATGTATATCTCTATATATAATATATAACATATTGTATATTATAATATACTATATTATGTTATATATAATTGGAACATAGCAATCATTCCAACCCTACTTACATATTTTCTTTGTTCCAACTCTTTTTTTGTTCTTCTATTTTTCTTTTAATTTTATTGTAAAGATGTTGTATAGAGGGGTTATAGTTACGTGAGTAAAGCAACAAGTCCATTCATTGCTTGTCGATCATTGTTACCCCTTCCCTTGTTGATGCCCCACTATCCCTTCTTTCCCCCACTTCCCACACTCCTCTCCAGCCCCCACTTGCCCCCACCCAAAGTTGTAAAGTTCGTTTCCAATATACTGTCCTGTGGGTCTCATTGTTGCGATGGGTCATCCTGTGTCCTTGTTTCACCATTTTGTTATTCCCCTTTCCCTCCCCATTAGATAAATGTATATACAAGATGCAAGGTACCAAAATCAAGTACAGTGACAATAGGGGATATACCACAGGGGAAAGAACATACAGAGGAAACAAAAAAAATCACCTAGTACATTTAAAACAGCAACAACAAAGACAGACCTCTTGTGTCCATATCTTGGGGTTGATTTCACTTAGCATCAACTTATATGTTCATATGTACATAATGTTTGAGCTTTTCAGCTCATCTGATAAGATTGTCCTATACATAATGCTAATTATTGCAAATAAGGGTAGCCATGGGGCCTAAATTTCTTTAGGACTGGCTCACTTCACTTTTTATCTTGTCCATAATTAAAAGCTGGCCATCATCGGGTGTGCCTGGCCCTTGGCCTATTTCAATTCTCCCATTAATAACCTGTCTATGGGTCTTCTCAGGACACACTGGATGCCAGTCTTCAGAGTTTCCAGCAAGAGCGACTTGCAGAGATCACTGAGCTGAAGGACCAACTTGTGGCTGCTCAGCATCACCAGAGCCAAGCCATTGAGGAGCGCCACGCTGCCCTGCTGCGGCGCTGGGAGCAGCTGCTTGAAGCCTCTGCAGACCACAGACAGAAACTGTTAGAGAAGCAGCTGCCTCTACAGAAGGTAAGACAAGGAAAAGTGATGAAGCATGATCCATCTCTATCATCTGGATAGTGGTTGCAGAATTCAGAAATAGTAGAAATCGGCTTACAGAATCTATAGATGTTTTAAGCCATTAAAAGTGATCAAGAAGACATTTAGTTTTTGGCAGTACTAGGTTTTAAACTTGGGGTCTTGTGCTTGCTAGACAGATTTTGTATCACTTGAGCCAAGAACTCATGTTTTGTGTTTGTTTTTGTTGTTTGAGGGTTGTTTTCTTCTTTTTTCTTTTTTGCTTTATTTTTTAATAGAATTTATATTGTTACCTAGGGCCCATCACAGACCACAATCATACTTTCTGTGCTTCTCACATAGCAAGTATGTACCACTATGCCCAGCTTATTTGTTGCAATAGGATCTTTGCTTAGGCTAGGCTCAAGCTATGATCTGTGTCTCAAGTATCTGGGATTATGGATATGAAGTACCACACACAGTCAAGAAAATAATCTTACAGAGCAACAAAGAGTTCATTTTTTAGATTGGTAGGAAGTTATTAAGCAATTTTAGTATCTACTAATTGTACAAAAATGGTTTTCATTATAATGGAGATATCTTCATACTAATGTTTATTGAAGCACTATTCACAATAGCCAAGTCATGGAGACAGCCTAGACACCCATCTGTGGATAAATAGATAAAGAAAATGTGGCATATATTCATAACAGAGTATGACTCATCCATTACGATGGAAGCTTTTTTAAAATGAGCAGTTGCGCAACTGATTTGAGGTGGAAGTAAGGTACATATAATGGAAAGGGCAAGTGGGACAAGAGGGTAGAAGGCTTTACTTCACAGCAAAATGAAACAGAACTGACAGGCAAAGATCAAAGCTGGCCTTGTGCTTTGTTCAAGGAGCAAATGGAGCACAGGAAAAGTAACTATAACATGTGTTCTCAACTGTACTAACCACTCTTACATGAGATCGCCTCCAGGAGTCATGTAATATCTCTGAACTGGTGGCATCCTCTTATGAAATAAGACAATGTTGCCTGCACCATTTCTTACCTTTCTGAGCTATTACTATTTAAAGGAGAAGATGGATCTAGACATGAGTGTAGACTAGTAAGTCCTGTATAGAAGGAACGATTCAAATGTTCTTTCCAGCACTTTCTGTTACAATATCTGCAATGTTGATAATAAAAATTTAAAAAAACAAATCTCAGGGGTTAGTAAAATTACTGAATACCCCTAGACCAAAAGGAACACTGCACTTGGCAAGAAGTTAAGGCACAGAGTTAGAGATACAGAGAAACAAGCATGCAAGTCAGAGACTCTGGATTGCTAGTTAATTTCTACTCTCCTGAAGAGCCTATAGAAATAAATCTCAAATGAAAATCTAAAGCAATTAGACTGGTGATTTACATATATATATACATATATATGTATATATATATATATATATATATATATATATATATATATATGACCACCTTGTGCCTGTTGGTTTTAGTTTGCATTGGGACCGTCTGTCATTTATTTTGATCCTCAACCTTCTCTTTAGCTGAGGTGTTTTATCAGGAAAGATGGGGGTATCTTTTGCTTTCCCTGCAGGCTGAGGAGCTGTTCATGGAATTTGCACACAAGGCATCAGCTTTCAACAATTGGTGTGAGAATGCAGAAGAGGACCTATCGGAGCCTGTGCATTGTGTCTCCCTCAATGAGATTCGCCAGTTGCAGAAGGACCATGAGGCTTTCTTGGCCTCCTTGGCTGGAGCTCAAGAAGACTTCAACTATTTGCTAGAGCTAGACCAGAAGATTAAGGCCTTAGATGTGCCCTCTAGCCCTTATACCTGGTTAACAGTGGAGGTGCTAGAAAGGATCTGGAAGCATCTGCCTGATATCATTGAGGTAAGGTGCGGAGGGAAGCACTAAAATATTTTCTGTCTGTAGTGAACATGACCACATAGTATATTATCAGAATCAAGGGACTTTTGAGAAATAAAGGAAGACTGTCAGTATCAAGCCATGAACCAAGATTGAGAAAAATTAGAAAACCTGCATATCTACAGTACCATTGGCATACCTGATGTGCCATCGTTTGGATAATCTCATGCTTTGGGGTTTGAGAAATGATTCATGGAAGTGAATGGAAGCCCCAGTAGAGGATTGAAGTTGTAATGATGAAAAGTTCATGGTTTTTGCATAAGCACATGGACACTCGCTTGTGGGAGATGGGAACTATTTTGAGAGAAGGATGTGCAGCTGAGTCTACAAACTGGTTCCTTTATCGCAAGGAAAGGCCTGTGATGTGAACTCTACTGTCTGTGGTTTGGGCTTTTAGGAACGGGAGCAGGAGCTGCAAAAGGAAGAGGAGAGACAGGTGAAGAATTTTGAGATGTGCCAGGAGTTTGAACAGAATGCCAGTACCTTCCTCCAGTGGGTTCAGGAGACGAGGTAGGCTCTACTCCCTCCAAACCTGCGGGCCTAGGCTGCACATGTTATTTGCCACCAGGACAGCATGTGTCTTTTTTTTTTTTTTTTTGGTCAGTCGTGGGCTTGAACTCTGGGCCTGGGCGCTGTCCCTCAGCTCTTCAGCTCAAGGCAAGCGC